GCCCCGCGAGCCCGGCGCGGCCGCCGCCGCCGCCTTTTGTTCACAGTCCCGGCCTGGGAGGAGCCGGGCCGGCCTGGGAGCGTCTCTGGGAGTGGGACGAGCCCCGTGGTCGGAGCCGCAGCATGACAGTGGCTGCGACGGGTCGTCCGGAGCTCTCGCGGGTCCTCGGTTGCCCTGGGGATGGCGCACACCCCTTTCCGGCTGTTCTGTGACGAAGAGCCTTCTTACTCTTGGTTTAAAAATTCACAAGCCTTGCCTTCTGAAGGCTGTGAGATCAGCTTTGCTGAGTTGCGTTGAGAACTTAAAATTCATCTTAAGTCATTTGAAGGATTTATGTTGAAGCTCACCGGCCCCGTAATGTGAGCAAGCACCCCTGCCCCCCAATACTGGAGATTTTGGACCTGTGAACTCATGACTTTGTTCAAACCATCCCGGATTCCTTTCCGAAGGACTGCAGTTTTCAATCTGGAATGTTCTTTCTACCGTCATCTTTATTCCTTGGTCTCCTTGACATAATCTGTGGTACTTTACAACCTCTTTTTTTCTCTCTCTCTCTCTCTCTCTCTCTCTCTCTCTCTCTCTCTCTCTCTCTCTCTCCCTCTCTTCCCCCAACCTCATTCGCTTGCTCGCTCTTGATTCATATTCTTTGAATCAGGCGTGTTGATTTGAATTTGTTGAAGTTAATTTAATTTTTGCTTACAGAATAGAAACCTGTTTTTCTCTTGAAAAATGAAGATGCCTGGGTTGGATGGTGCTGGCCTGTAATTTAAGAACTCTGGGAGGCTGAGGCAGGAGGATGGCAGGTGTGAGCCCAGCCTGGGCAACTTTGCAAGATTCTGCCTTTAAAAAAAAAAAAAAAATTAGAAAAAGGACTGGGAATGTAGCTCAGTATATGGACCATGGGATCCTCAGTACTGCTCCTTACCCCGTGGCTATGGCATTTAATGTGTTAAACCAACCTGAATTACACTTTCGCGTCAGAGGATGAATACATGTTCTGTGCCCTCTTCTACTCTGCTCCAGGGTGCTTCACTAACATACAGAAAAACCCAAAAAACAAAAAGCCTTTGTGGATGAGGATCAAATTCCCCATCTAAAGAGGTCTTCCAACCAAGAAAATAAAAGAATACGTGTTAATAACCATCTCTAAATTTTTGCTAAGCTTGTACTGCCTCTCGAAACGTGTGTATCCTGTAGTAAGGATAGAATAGTCTAGCGTGTCTTTGATGCTACAATCAGGAAAGATGTTTTCTGGGAAATGAGTGGTGATGGAAAGAAATGGAAATTGGTTGGACAAATGAAAAATGGACTCTATAATTTTGAAAGATCTGAAACTCTTAGTTAAGAAACATGAACACGTGTTAAGTTCATTGGTATAGTTAGAAATACGGAGCTGTATGTTTGAAGTATGTAACATTGAAAAAAAATCTTAAGGTGGAAGAAAAAAGGAAATTTTCTTTTGGAGAGAGATTTGAGATTTTTGCAAAACATACTGTGTTTTTGTCCTTGGTGAAGTTTGATTTTTTGGGGGGTAGTCATCTGTGATTCTGAGGCATTCATTTCAACAACCATTAGTTTATAAAAATAGCTTATTGGTACCAAAAGAATTCCTAATATGTGTAAGATACCATAAATTTACAAAGATGAGTCATAGACCCAAACTCTCAGGGCTTACTGTCTAGAGGAAAGATATTATCACATAAAAACACAAGCATGTTTTGTGAGTGTCCATATTACTGAACTTGGAGTTGGATGCTGAACCAGGTCCTGGCGTTAAAAGAATTTGTTAACCTTGCTTTCATTTAGATATGACTACAGAAATGAGAAGTATTTTTGCCCTTCAGATAGTAAGAGAACTTTCTAGAGAGAGAAAGGCATAGACTGTTAGACACTGATATTTGTAATGTCTGACTCATAGGATGCTAATGTACTACAACCGACAAATGTCAGGAACACAGACAGCCGTAGTTAAACAGGCAAGGTGCAGCATTATTCTTTTGTGGTTAGGAGAGCACGCTGCTTGGGGAGCTGAGGGGTGCCTCATTAAGAGCGTGTTAGAATGGATTATAAGATTTGGGCTTGGTGATTGGGGGAGGTTTTAAGGAAGTGGGAGTTCGCTATAGATTAGATGCTGTCAGAAAGCAAGGCAATTCTGTTACCTGGCTAGCTGCAAATTTTGGGCGGGGATGGTGGTCCTGGAGATTGAACTCAGGAAATTGAAGCTTAGCTTTGCACTGAGCTGGAAGGATGCCAATGTTTTTTTGAGACAGGGTCTTGCTGTATAGTTCAGGCTGTCTTGGACTCACTGTGTAGCCCAGGCTGGCCTCAATTTGTGTCAATCCTCCTGCTTCAGTCTCCTAAGTGCTGTGATTACAGAGGTGTGTGCCACCACATCTGGCTCAGGCCAGCCCTTTTTATGTTTTTGATTATTATTTTTATTCTGAGACAGGCTCTCACCAAGTTGCTGAGCTGCCCAGACTGATCTTGAAGTTACCCTGCCTCAGCCTCTCAGGATGCCAGGATTACAGGACTGTCCTGCCATTCCCTGCATTTTGATAATTGTATGTGTAAGGAGGAGGGACTGGCAGAGAGGAAAACTGAATGGCAGAGAGCTTGTTGTCTGGCCAAGAGAGAGAGTTTGTTATGTGGGAGTGGCATAGTGCTTGTCTGTGCGTGCACAAAATTACAAAATGGGTTTTGCACTTTTTCATCAAGGTTTCACTGTCATCGTGTCTGAGATGGTGTTCGGTAAGATAAGTGATATCTGGTAGGAGAACCCCAAGCCCAGCTGCTAGTGCTGGCCGCGTCTGTACTTGAGGTTTGCAATAAGCAAAAAGGTTTCTCTGTGTGTAGAGTTTATATTCCCAGTGACCATCACACATGGCTTTGTCCCAGCAGCCATCCTTGTTACAGTGTTTGCTCATTTATGGAGGCTTTTATTTGCTTGAGTTGTATGTGGACAAAGTTCGTAGCTTGGCTTGGGAGCGTTTGAGAGTTACTGTTCTTGTCCTTAACTGACAGAGTCTGGTGAGTAGAGCAGGGACTCGGGGTGTGCAATGGGTCCTTGTTGATTCTCTTGCTATCTTGGAAGCAGGGATAATACACTTAACTTCATGGGCCTCTGTGTCTGCATTCAAGTAAATGTGAGTAATAACACCTAACTCACAGGACTGTTTTGAAGTTTGAGTTGGGTAATGGATTTGAAAGTGCTTAGTAAATTGTACCATGCTTTTTAAGAATGGGAGATTATTATGATTATAATATTAAACCATAGGGGCTGGGGAGATGGCTCAGTGGAATAAGAGCTTCCCTGGCAAGTGCAAGGGCCTGAGTTCAATCCCCAGTTCCGCCAAAAAAAAAAATAAATAAATAAATAAAATAAAAAATAAACCTTAGGTGGGAGGGCCAGACTCAAAAACAATGAGACAGAGTCTCTTGACAGCCCTTCCATATATGAAAATTTATTATATGAGAAAGATGGCCTTACATATTAATAAAGAGAGGATGAACCAGATAGGAAATTGGATTGGAGCACTTGGTAATCCAATGGCAAAAGGTAAAATGAGGTGCGGCCTTATACCATTCAGAAAAATCAATTTCAGGAGGCCTCATGACCTGAATGCATAAGGTACAACTACTAAAAGGCAATAGAAGAGGTTATCTTTATATTAGTACAGGGAAAAATGTCTTAAAATACTAAACGCAAACCCTAAAGAAAAAGATTAACAAACAAGACAAATTTGAAAAGCATAGTTGCAGTTGTATCACTAACAGTTGGCAAGCATCTTGATTTTTTTGTTTTTTCTTTTTTTGTGTTACTTGGAATTGAACCCACAGCCTTTGTGTTTTGAACTACATCTCTACTCCTTTTTAAATATTTTATTTTGCAAGATGGTCTTGATATTTTGCTTAATTGCCTAGGCTGGACTTGAACTTGCAATCTTCCTCAGCTTCCCAGAGTGCTGGAGCTACAGGTGTGTACCAGCACACATTGGGTATTACCTTGATCATTTAAAAAACAGAAGAATAAATTTCTTAAAAGGCATATTACCCAGTGCTAAAAGGGCAGGAACATAAACAAGTCAGAGTAAAAGGAAACAAAAATGTCTAGTAACAATTTTTTTGGGGGGGCAGGCTCAGGATGCTTTCAGGGCAGGTCTGGCAAGGCTTGAGGCTACGGGGCTGAGCCTGACTGCTTTGTTGGAGCAGTCACTTAAGCGACTGAGCTAATGGTCAGGTCCCTCAAAGTGGCTAGTAAACCAGAAAAGATGCTTAATTTCTGTTATCATCAGGAGATGTAAATCAAAATGCTAGCACACTGTTTAGATTGGGGAAAATGAAAAAGTCGGAGATTAGGAACTGCTGGGGTACATGTTTGATGAGGAGGCCTGTTTGCGTAGCTAGTGGGAGTATGAGTGGGAACAGCTGATTACTGAAGAGTGAGGGCACTTTCTAGTCGGGTGAAACATGACATAACCAGTGACTAGGAGGATGTTGTGCATATTCCTTCCAACACAAAGTTGACATAAGGGACCTGGGAGATGGCTCAGTGGAGTGGGCGCTTCTCTGGCAAGCGCAAGGGCCCGAGTCAAATCCTCGGTTCCACCAAAAAAAAAAAAAAAAAAAAAGTCACAACACAAAGTTGACAGCCCTTCATCTTTATCAATAGAATGGGTAAGTTGTGGCATGTTTACACTGGCGCACTGAGGTAGACAGGTCCACCTCTAGAGTTAAACCTTAGAGTCACTGCGTCTCAGATGAGAAGCTCAGTGACGCTACTCCCATAAGGTGACACAGTACTGTGTATTGCTTCAGGTGAGCAGGGGCATGAGTGGCGGAACTGCAACAGAGTCACTGGGTCAGAGTCATTGTGTAATTACACTTTTATTTCATTTCTTAAAGAACAGAAGTGAGTAAAGTGAAATATTGATGCAGCAGTGGTCCACGGGGTGGTGTTCTCTGTGTTTTTTGATGTCTGGCTGGTTGCTTGAAATACTTGATAATAAGAAGTCACTAAGCCTCTTTATTGCCACCGTATAGAAGCACTCACAGACGGAGTAAGCGAAATAATAACTGTGGAGCGCTTGCAGTGAAGGGTTCAGGCAGGCTGAGTGCTGTGTATGGGATGGTGCGCAGTGCGTGTGAAGAGGCTGCCGTCGGGTGGAGGAAGACAGACAGTAGGTGAGTAAACCACAATTACCTAGGAAAGTGCTCTGTGGGAAGGGAAGGCCGTGGTGAGAGAGTCATGGGTAGAGGCTATTTTAAATAGGCCAGAGAAGGCTTCAGTGAGGAAGCAAGGGTCAAGTGCAATGCAAGAAAAAAAAAATGAGTTATGTGGAGAGCTGGGGGTAGGGCTGGG